CATCTCCATCTCAGGAGCTCATCCCCTCTCGGGATATTTCCAAGACGCTCAAGCTCCCCTGTTCTACCAGCTCAACTATCGAATCATGACAGCCGCAAATAGCTCTGTTCTTCTACTACAACCAGCCGAACAACAGCGGACCGCGGTGCTGGGTTAACCGCAACGAAGCAGAGCAGTGTTTACTTACCACGCCCTCTTTTCTCTTATTCCCTTGCTACAGCTTCTACGCAACATGTCTGAAAATTTTGAGTTGATCTGACCTCAGGTCAGGTCACCAGAGGCGGTTTGGTGACCCTACCTCAGAAAAGTTTGCAATCACGCCAGAGCTAGAGTTTTTGACCGATCAATTTCTTCTCTTCAGGCTTTAGTTAGGGTACCGGTATGTGCAATTTGTATATCTCGGAATTTTGATATCGGTGACCTAAGGTCAGGTCAATTTCGCGACCTCCCCATTATAAGTCAATGGGGGAAAAATCAACTCCCTGTTTTTCCCACTACAACGGGTCGGAATGGCCCCATATACCATACATGACTTCATATACGATCAACCTTCACTACCTTGAGGTCTGTTTTGCTGTTGGGCAGCTGTGAGGTCATGTGACGCCATCAAAGGTCACCAAAGGTTTTTGGCCAATAACTCCGTACAGGAACAAGATACAGACGCGTGGATGGTCTCATTGTGTTCAGCTCGTCAAGACGCATCGAATGATATACATGATGACCTCGAGGTCACGTGACCTGAGGTCAACCTTTGACCTTGACCTTTCGAGGTCAACATATATGTCATTCGATGCGGATTGACGAGAGGATCACGATGATGCCCTTAGTTTGTTCCTATCTTGACTAATTCGAAAGTTATTCGAGAAAAACTCTCTCCATATCTAGCGCCGCCATTTTGACTTTTTCGACCCCTGTGACGTCATCTTTGACCTGACCTGAAAATGACCTTTGTAAAAATTGTAGACCTTGTCCATGCGTATCCGATGCCGTTTACCGCTTGTCGCTATCTTGCTTCGTTCTCGAGATCTCAGGGGGGGGGGCCGAATCGGCCCCCCCCGCCAGTTTCTTGTCCCGGCGGAGCCCGCCAGGAATAGGGTTAAGCACAGCACGAGCCGGGCAGTAAAACTATGACCAAGAAACTGTCGGTGTCAAAATGCCATGTTATTTGATAGGCCGGGCAGGAAACAAAAGTTTACTGCCCGGGTTTACTGCCCAGGGCAATGACCTCTAAACTACAGTTTATCGCATTAGCCCAGAGGCATAATTGATAGGGAATGTATAATTGACATCATTATTGCATGATATTTGCCGCGTAAAATTAGAAAACTAACATTTTATGGTAAAAAAATCTGCTCTGCTTATCAAGGGTTTTGAAATACTTTGTATTGGTTACAAAGCCGAAATTATGGCAAGATATGCTCCTATTAATCGAAATCCGTTATCGCTTGTTTCTTATCTTCGTTTGATATGTCCACTTATACCTTGGGCCGAAGTTATTGCGTTATTATTTGACAGTTGTAGTCCTTTTCTCGAAACAAACATGTAAAATATGGAAAATATAATGTATTTCACGAAAGTTTAGCCATAGGTCATCAACAAAGTACGATTACATGAATAAAGAAAAGATTCTTGCAAGAGCACTGGAAAATTCACGTTTAATCACTAGGAATATTATACCTTCTAATTTCTTCTTGTTCTTATGTCGTGGCAAATTATTCATGTATGATGTTTCATGTTCCTTGGACATCCAATTGTTGTGCCATTCTCAGTTGATATTTTCAGACGCGATTCTTTTGAAGTAAGGTATTTTCATGCATTTTCTTCTATAAATTTCCATTAAAGCTTTATCCACAGCAGTAGCGCAATCACTGTTCGGAAATTATGGACAAAACAATTGTATAAAGTGTCACCAAAACATGTCGAAACCATAGAGATCTTATATACATGTATATAAGATCTCTATGGTCGAAACTACTTAGCAGGTATGCGGCATGTAGGAAAAATCTTACTGACCTCAGCCGTACGAAATTATTTGGAAACTCGGTTTGCAAAATTTGACTCCGGCCCTCGTGCTTCGCACTCGGGCCTACGTCAATTTTGCAAACCTCGTTTCCAAATAATTTCGTCGGCCCGGTCAGTAATATATATTACTGACCGGGCCGACGAAATTATTTGGAAACGAGGTTTGCAAAATTGACGGAGGCCCGAGTGCGGAGCACGAGGGCCGGAGTCAAATTTTGCAAGCCGAGTTTCCAAATAATTTCGTACGGCTGAGGTCAGTAAGATTTTTCCTACATGCCGCATAGCTAAGTAGTTTCGACAGGTTTTGGTGACACTTTTATACAATTGTTTTGTCCATAATTTCCTAATAGTGATTGCGCTACTGCTGTGGAAGGAAATTTATGGAAGAAAATGCATCAAAATACCTTACTTCAAAAAGAATCGCGTCTGAAAATATCAACTCAGAATGGCACAAAAACTGGATATCCAAGGAACATTATACATAAATAATTTGCCACGACATAAGAAGAAGAAGGCATAATATTCCTAGTGATTAAACGTGAATTTTCCAGTGCTCTTGCAAGAATCTTTTCTTTATTTATGTAATCGTACTTTGTTGATGCCCTATGGTATGGCTAAACTTTCGTGAAATACATTATATTTTCCGTATTTTACATGCTTGTTTCGAGGCAAGGACTACAACTGTCAAATAATAACGCAAAAACTCAGGCCCAAGGTATCAGTGGACATATCAAACGAAAATAAGACAAGCGATAACGGATTTCGATTAATTAATAGGCGCATATCCTACCATAATTTCGGCTTCGTAACCAATATTAAATATTTCAAAGCCCTTGATAAGCAGAGCAGATATTTTTTACCAAAAAATGTTAGTTTTCTAACTTAACGCGGCAAACATCATGTAATAATGATGTCAATTATATATTCCCTGTCAATTATACCTCTGGGCTAATGCGATAAACTGTAGTTTAAAGGTCATCGCCCTGGGCAGTAAACCCGGGCAGTAAACTTTTGTTTCCTGCCCGGCCTATCAGATAACATGGCATTTTGACACCGATAGTTTCTTGGTCATAGTTTTACTGCCCGGCTCGTGCTGTGCTTAAGACATACCCCGGCATGTAGGAAAATCATGTCATCCATCCTCGCCCACATACAAAGTTAGGTCAAGGTCAATTATTTGTGTTTGTATGTCTGTGTGTGTCTGTGTGTACACTGATGTGTGCACCGATTGTTTTTGTGTTCATATTACATGAAATCATGATCTGAGAAGCTTTTACCAAAAATGCAGTCAAAAAACTTCACAAAAAGTGAATTCAGCTTACCTAAAATGCAATTATCTTAGATGACCTAGGTTGACCTTGACCCTGACCTTGACACCTGTACATCGTCGAACAACATGTTCCATCATAGGTGGCAGGTTAGACTGGCAAAAAAGGCCGAAATCAAGGTGTCAAAAGCCCACAAGGCCCATGGCAAACACAAGATGTTGAGAATTGGCCATTTGGGTCATGACATGACCTAAAAAACAAGGTCATATCTCCGAAACAAAAAATCACAGAAACTTGAAATTTTCAGTGGACATCAAGAAAGGATAGAGGACCAGCTATACGAAAAATCAGCCTTCTAGCTCTAAAAATGTCGAGTGCAGAGCAGAAAGACTACCTGAGGGGGGGGGGGTGGCAACCCCCCCCCATGTGCGGGCGAGGGTTAACCCGCGCACCGGCCGATGTGCAGAGGCCGATGCGGGCTCTTAGAGGCCGACATCGGGTCTTCAAAATCCAGTGCGGGGCCCTCAGAGGCACTTACCCGCGCACCGACGGGGGGCGGATATCCGCCCCCCTGAGGTTTTTCGCGAATAGCGGCGCGTAGCGCCGCGAAATTTGGTACGACTATTCTCTCATCAATTTTACACATGATGTGCAAGTTTGAACCTCCTAACTTTTAAGGTCAGGTCACCAGGTCACTTTGAATGACCCAACCTCAAGTCACTTTTTTGCAACTTTGTCACCGTGCCAGAGCTACAGTAGATGTCGGAGGCCTTTGAAAGTCGCAGGATGTTATCAGGTCATTAGTAGCTACAATTTGTATATCTCGGAATTTTGATATCGGTGATCTAAGGTCAGGTCAATTTCTCGACCTCCCCATTATAAGTCAATGGGGGAAAAATCAACTCCCTGTTTTTACCACTAAAACGGGTCGGAATGGCCCCATATACCATACCTGACTTCATATACGATCAACCTTCACTACCTTGAGGTCTGTTTTGCTGTTGGGCAGCTGTAAGGTCATGTGACGTCATCAAAGGTCACCAAAGGTTTTTTGCCAATAACTCCGTACAGGAACAAGATACAGCCGCGCGGATGGTCTCATTGTGTTCAGCTCGTCAAGACGCATCGAATGATATACATGATGACCTCGAGGTCACGTGACCTGAGGTCAACCTTTGACCTTGACCTTTCGAGGTCAACATACATATCATTCGATGCGGATTGACGAGAGGATCACGATGATGCCCTTAGATTGTTCCTATCTTGACTAGTTCGAAAGTTATTCGAGAAAAACACTCCCCATACATAGCGCCGCCATTTTGACTTTTTTGACCCCTGTGACGTCATCTTTGACCTGACCTGAAAATGACCTTTGTAAAAATTGTAGACCTTGTCCGTGCGTATCCGATGCCGTTTACCGCTTGTCGCTATGTTGCTTCGTTCTCGAGATCTCAGGGGGGGGGGGCGGTCATCCGCCCCCCCGTCGGTGCGAAGTTGGCGCAGACCCCCGTCGGTGCGCGGGTTAAGCAACCACAAATGCAGAAAAACAAAACGTAAGTACTGACATCTTACTTCCTGAAGAAAAAAAAAACAGTTCATGTTTCAGGTTCTCAGAGTTCGCGATAAATTTTCCAAGCCTAGATATTTCACATTGATATTAAAACAAACAACTAAAAAGGGAATCAGTTCAAGACGTTGTCATTGTCAACATCCTATAGCCTAATGATAGCAATGATGAAAACAACGCTGGATTCAAACATCGACATCTGACATCTGACAAACGACATCCGACATCGAAACTGAGATGGAATCGTTCCATGCATCAATGCAACTGACATGATGACTCAGATAGCAGCACAGCAAGTTGTGCATTTTTAACGATAGGCTCGCTCATTGCATTCACATCTCTGACACTTATCTAAGCCCGTTCCATACGCCAAATATCGACATGTTCGTACTTCGTAAGAACATATAGAATGATTGCACCTAATACAAGCGCATATTTTACCGTTACAGACTGGTAGCGGCATCAAAAACGTTGGGCCAACAGCAACAAGAACAACCACACATCCGCCGTACCTACATGCATGCCGTGCTGCGTGCATGCGCGCACAGACGCTCGGGACAAACAGCGTTACGTATAGGTACGGGGCGGACCAACTCCGCGGCAACAGCAAATCGCTCGGCGTGCTCCTTAGAATAGCACACTCGGGACGATAAATCAACGCTTCAAGTAGGTACCTTAAACGAAACAGCAACACTCAACAGTTCACGTAAGTAAATGATATACGCTAGTATGTTCGTACGATTGTACATGGATCCGTAGGTACGCGCAATCTGTCACGGGAAAACATCGATATGATTACAGTGTGCATCGATATGTTGATCACAATCGATATTGCACCAATTGTTCCCAATTAGGTACCCAAGGTCGTGGATACTGGGGTTCTGTCTACCGTCACCGTTTCAAGCCAACCCAGTCTTATAGCAAATTGAACGTTGGTAAGTCAATTTCGACGTAATTTAAATACACCTTACACTAATAATCATTTTTCTTTGGAAGTTTTCGCGTCTTTGTCTCAGGTAACGGCAACATTCGCAGCCTGCCCTTGATCTCGTCACACCGAGCACACCGTACTCACTTTACCTCGACGCATAGACAATCTAATCCTTGTCACTCATCTGTCCATTCCGTACAGCCGAATATATAATATGTCGCCACGGATGATGACGAAACATTTAGCTTTTCAAGCTCTTGGTCACTGAGCGCAACTTGTCATTGACAAGTCAGGTCACAATTTTATCTTTTCGGACCATCAATAACTCACATACCGAGCTGGGAATAAATGTAGATCAAAACATTTGCAGTCACATTTCCTCTCAGATGTGCAGATCCTCTGGTCAGATCTGCACCTCCTCAGGTCAAATCCCACCCCCTGCTCCAGTGACCGGTCCGATCTGTTCACAGTGACCTCGTACTAGGTCAGATATGTTCACGGTGACCTCGTACCAAGTCAGATCTTTACCTTGCGGAACGCACGCCGTTAGGCTAATCAGATCTGCATGCACCATGCCCCGGTGACCGGTCAGGGCTGCACCTCGCGGACGCCGTGTCAGATCAGATCTGCACCCCATACCCCGGTGACCGGTCAGATTTGCACCTCTCGGACGCCGTTGGCGGCGCCCGGCACGTGCCGTCAGGAGCGCACCTCCACCGGCGGACTGAGCTCGACGCGGCGCTGCTCGTGGCACGTGGAGCCCGACTCGCGCGCCACCAGTTGACGTGGCGCCTCGCCGGGAGACGAGATGGAGCGGCACGACATCATCGAGCGAGACGAGCTGCCGGCAGGCGCGGGAGGGAGTCAGAACAGGGGCGATGTGGGTGGTAGGGGCGTCAGAGCAAGGGTGATAATATGGGCGTCAGAAACGGAACGAATACATGATATTTAATACAGCACGTTTGACAGTAAACACAGCACGCAGCGCAGGTATTCACACAATATTGGATGAACATCTTCATCATACCATCTGACTGGCTCATCTAACGAAGCAAATGAGTCACTCATCACCACAGTGCTCCGCCCAGTGGCTGATGCGCACCTGACTTTGGACGGCTCGGCGGTGGACAGCGGCCGAGACAGCGAGGAAGACGAGGCGGTGGACATTTTTCGCGACGACGACGGACGCTTCTTGGCCCGGCGTAGCTCCCCGTCCAGGTCATCCAGCTGGAGGGATAGAATAGACCAGCGTGTATAGTGGTCGCTGACGGTCGGTGACGAGTGGTCGGTCATATAAAAATGACGATCTTTGCTGTCAATACGGCGCTTATGTAGGAGGTATGAAACGGTACGGTGTAGACTGCAGCACCTACCAAATGGGGCTGCAAAAGGTTGATATGAAGACTTACTAACTTGAAACTAAACTGAGTAACTAATTTATATGCACGGTAAAAAATGCCTGAATCTTCCTACAATCACCCGCGCCATCTGGACTCTGACCTCGTAGACGACGGTGCTGCCATCTGGCGTCGACCTGCGCCGCTGCAGCTCGGCCAGCAGGTCCCGGAACTCCTCCTTCAGGGCGGTGACGCGCCGGTGGAACTGGTCGGCGGCGCCGTCGTCACCCTGCGGCACGTGCTGGCCGGCCGACTCGGCGGCCCGCAGCGCGTGCAGCTGGTCCTGCACCAGGTTCAGCTTCTCCTGCAGCTGAGGGAGAGCCGGAGAACGTGCTATAATCAAAATCACTGGTAGTGCGGGTCAGAAATAGGGCATCGTTATTCGGAAATTGAAGTTTTACAACCACATGCCTACCAACCAACTACCAGGAAACGCATCAGGAAGCGTTCCTTTTCTAGGTCAGCCAGTGCTGACAGAATGCGAGCATCGCATTACCGCAGTGCTCCCACAACAATGAAGGATGCATTAGGAGCCGGCGTGTTCCCTTTCCTGCGACTCGCACGATGGACCAAGGCGGCGCGTGCCGGTCGCACGCGATATGACCCGGTCGCGCGGTCGCGCGGCCGTCTATTTCCCAGACTTGTGACGAAGGGAGCGGCACGCTGCCCCGGTGCAGCGATCGAGTATCGACACAGCTGCAGGGATTCCGGACACGAGCCGGACAGGGTACGCACGTCACGGTTATACCGCAGTCAGAGACGACGGCACAGCCCGTTTCGTGACGGGTTAGTGACACGGCCGCAGTGCCGTTCAGCGTCAGTCTCCGGCACAGACAGGTCACCCGACGGAGGGAATCCGTACGGACTCGGGAGCCCAGCCCGCCGGCGTTTGCGTGCCTTTCCAATAACGTATAATGTCTATATGCTGTAGTACATAATGTGTATATGTGTATGCATCCTAATGTGCGTTTGTGATGCCTATCTGTGCCAAACCTCGATAAGTTTCAAGGCATCATCAACACTATGTTTTTAAATGTCATCCTTACATCATGGTCGGAGTCGTTTCAGACAAAAAAGGAGTACATACCGCCCATCACCTTCCTAGACCAATGGCGAGAGCTCATTTCCGGTCCGTCACCTTTCCTCCGATCGTTGCAGTTTATGGAGTTCACACCTCGAGTACAGCGTGATGTATAACACTTTCTCAGAAGCCATCCAATCTGAGATAACCTTTGCAGAGTTTAGGTGACTGTCAGAACACTCACAGCTGACGCACAAGGCACTGTCAAGGTGGAGTCATGAGGATTCCACGTGATAATTTTAGAGTCAATGTCGTCAAGTGCTGTGTGCAATGTAAGATGAGCTATCATGAGCTGGCAATTGCAAGTGCCGTTACGAGTAGGTATTCATCGTCACGATGTTGACTTGGCAGTTAGCAATAAGTGAGACGAGAGAGAGAGAGAGAGAGAGAGAGAGAGAGAGAGAGAGAGAGAGAGAGAGAGAGAGAGAGAGAGAGAGAGAGAGAGAGAGAGAGAGAGAGAGAGAGAGAGAGAGAGAGAGAGAGAGAGAGAGAGAGAGAGAGAGAGAGAGAGAGAGAGAGAGAGAGAGAGAGAGAGAGAGAGAGAGAGAGAGAGAGAGAGAGAGAGAGAGAGAGAGAGAGAGAGAGAGAGAGAGAGAGAGAGAGAGAGAGAGAGAGAGAGAGAGAGAGAGAGAGAGAGAGAGAGAGAGAGAGAGAGAGAGAGAGAGAGAGAGAGAGAGAGAGAGAGAGAGAGAGAGAGAGAGAGAGAGAGAGAGAGAGAGAGAGAGAGAGAGAGAGAGAGAGAGAGAGAGAGAGAGAGAGAGAGAGAGAGAGAGAGAGAGAGAGAGAGAGAGAGAGAGAGAGAGAGAGAGAGAGAGAGAGAGAGAGAGAGAGAGAGAGAGAGAGAGAGAGAGAGAGAGAGAGAGAGAGAGAGAGAGAGAGAGAGAGAGAGAGAGAGAGAGAGAGAGAGAGAGAGAGAGAGAGAGAGAGAGAGAGAGAGAGAGAGAGAGAGAGAGAGAGAGAGAGAGAGAGAGAGAGAGAGAGAGAGAGAGAGAGAGAGAGAGAGAGAATTGTATGTATTTTTTGTACTCTGTTATTCTTAGCAGACAACAGTCGTCGTCAAAATATGTAGTCCGAGACGACGACGAGAGTGAGACGCGATTCAGAAAACGGCCGGCGAAGCGGCAGCCGCTCCGAAGCCAGGCTGCACAGTTTGACAGGCGCCCTTTTGTACGGAAACTATTTTCGTACGTTGAGAGTTGACTCGGTGGATTGATTCCATAAAGTTACTTCCACCCAGGACCTGTTGTTGGAAGTTTCCTGGGCCTCGTTTCATAAAACTCTGCCGTAACTTACACCTTTCCGTAATTCACACCCTTTCAAACTACGGAGCGCAAATAAATCCGTTTCACAAAGCCACAACTGGAATTGTTTACACCTCCGTAACTAAGCACATTTGCGTAGTTACCGTAATTTATCAAGCGTCCTACAAATTACAATTTCATGTCAACACTTATTTTTTTACGAGAATTTATAAAACAATTATGTTGAATTTAAATCTTAAAAACTATGTATGAAAAAACAAAATTGATATTGATGACCATCCTTTATTTAAACAATATATTAAAAACAGCAGAAAGCCAGCTAAGCAGAAGTGCCTAACTACGAAAGTGGCGCGGCGCGGCGAATAAACAAAATTCCGATAGTGGCCACAAAAAAAGCGACTGGTACAGAAGATTTGCAGTTTCTTTTTCTCATTTTGGCTGTTCTTTCTTCCTCACCGGGCTCAACATTATAAAATATATTAAAAATTAGCTTCGAATCTTCACATTAATTCAAAATCACGCAACATTTTTGTGCGTAGTTTACACCACTGATATCAAGAGCTTGATAAAATATTCGGCGTTAATTACGTCGTTTTATGAAACCCAAATGGCATCAATTGGTCCGGAATCGAGCATTTGCCGTAAATAAAGCTCCGTACTTTCGATGGCGTGAATTACTCCGGTCTCCGGCTTTATGAAACCGAATTGGCATCAAATACGCCAAATCTGGCATAATTGACGGAACGCCGTAAGTAATTCCTTTTATGAAACGAGGCCCAGCTGCCCGCGGCGTTCCGACCGAATCCCATTGTAGTTCATGTCCGTGAAGTTAGCGTCAGCAACAGCAACGAATACAGCGTCGGATTCAGAATCGCTTCAAAAAGTGCCATCAGGTCAATTGGGGGACGGGGAACACGAATATGACATTTATTTTGCCCTAGCTCCCTTCCTTCATCCCTTAATCGTCCCTTAAAGGACGGGGCGCGTCAAAAGTGCCCCAAGGCTTCGTCTGATCGCCAAAATAATGGTCGCAATCGATTCCTCGGGTCAATATCTAACCTCAGTCGAAGGTTCCAGACCTGTGGCTCCTATCCCTCATCCCTTAATCGTCCCTTAAAGGACGGGGCGCGTCAAAAGTGCCCCAAGGCTTCGTCTGATCGCCAAAATAAGGGTAGCAATCGATTCCTCGGGTCAATATCTAACCTCAGTTAGAGGTTCCAGACCTGTGGCTCCTATCCCTCATCCCTTAATCGTCCCTTAAAGGACGGGGCGCGTCAAAAGTGCCCCAAGGCTTCGTCTGATCGCCAAAATAATGGTCGCAATCGATTCCTCGGGTCAATATCTAACCTCAGTCGAAGGTTCCAGACCTGTGGCTCCTATCCCTCATCCCTTAATCGTCCCTTAAAGGACGGGGCGCGTCAAAAGTGCCCCAGGGCTTCGACTGATCGCCAAAATAAGGGTCGCAATCGATTCCTCGGGTCAATATCTAACCTCAGTCGAAGGTTCCAGACCTGTGGCTCCTATCCCTCATCCCTTAATCGTCCCTCAAATGACGGGGCGCGTCAAAAGTGCCCCAAGGCTTCGTCTGATCGCCAAAATAATGGTCGCAATCGATTCCTCGGGTCAATATCTCACCTCAGTCGAAGGTTCCAGACCTGTGGCTCCTATCCCTCATCCCTTAATCGTCCCTTAAAGGACGGGGCGCGTCAAAAGTGCCCCAAGGCTTCGTCTGATCGCCAAAATAATGGTCGCAATCGATTCCTCGGGTCAATATCTAACCTCAGTCGAAGGTTCCAGACCTGTGGCTCCTATCCCTCATCCCTTAATCGTCCCTTAAAGGACGGGGCGCGTCAAAAGTGCCCCAAGGCTTCGTCTGATCGCCAAAATAAGGGTCGCAATCGATTCCTCGGGTCAATATCTAACCTCAGTCGAAGTTTCCAGACCTGTGGCTCCTATCCCTCATCCCTTAATCGTCCCTTAAAGGACGGGGCGCGTCAAAAGTGCCCCAGGGCTTCGTCTGATCGCCAAAATAAGGGGCGCAATCGATTCCTCGGGTCAATATCTAACCTCAGTCGAAGGTTCCAGACCTGTGGCTCCTATCCCTCATCCCTTAATCGTCCCTTAAAGGACGGGGCGCGTCAAAAGTGCCCCAAGGCTTCGTCTGATCGCCAAAATAATGGTCGCAATCGATTCCTCGGGTCAATATCTAACCTCAGTCGAAGGTTCCAGACCTGTGGCTCCTATCCCTCATCCCTTAATCGTCCCTTAAAGGACGGAGCGCGTCAAAAGTGCCCCAAGGCTTCGTCTGATCGCCAAAATAATGGTCGCAATCGATTCCTCGGGTCAATATCTAACCTCAGTCGAAGGTTCCAGACCTGTGGCTCCTATCCCTCATCCCTTTATCGTCCCTTAAAGGACGGGGCGCGTCAAAAGTGCCCCAAGGCTTCGTCTGATCGCCAAAATAATGGTCGCAATCGATTCCTCGGG